TGTTCGCCACATTACAAGTTTCTTTTTGGCTGCTTCGCTATTTAAAACCCCGCTCAAACTAGAAAACTACCATCGTCTTAGATGTGATGCAGTGATAGAAGTTTACCGGCGTTTAGGAGGGATATTCTGCCTCCTTTCTCAGGGCTGAAGAGTAATCCGAGCAAGTAAACAAGCAAATACCAAGCAGAAAGCAGAACAAATCTTTACACGTACGTAAACCCCTGCCAGTGTACAAGGCGGCACATTCCAGGAGCTAGTATTGACGTGAGAACGTCAGCTCTCATGCCGTTGTTACGACTTTCCTTTGGTTCCGAATGAAGAATTGTTGTAGGTTGCAAGTCACAAAGAGTTAGAGGAATGGTACCAACTACACGGTTAGATGTGGGAATGTTGTGAATCTCACTGCAGCCTCCATGCTCCAGCTTCTGACCACCGGAAGTTTACAACGAGGGCTTAAGAAATAAAAAAGTGCGGATCAAATGAGACGTAACAACACAATCACGCCGTTTCTAATCGACCTGATCGCTGTACACTCTGACAGAACACAATAGAGTCAGGCTTCTTTCTTGGATTACGCTTCCTCCATATCCTTCGAAGTTACGTTGAAGTGAAGGAGACGATTCTCGATTTCTGCTTACCATCAACTACGTGACTTTCGTCCTATAGAAACGTTGTGGTTACATTTTATGACTGATGAGACCGCCCTTTCATGCGTCTGACAATAAACGATTTCCCAGCATTATTCGGTAATTGTGTTCACCAACAAACAACACACAGCGAAGTCATCAGTAGGTTATCATTGAAAAGATGGTAAATCGTGGCATTCCAAGAAGTTTCAAACATCTATAAATAAATCAATTATCTCTGAAGCTGTCAAGCGATTTATGGAGTTTTGGATTGATGACCGGGTTTACTGGACTCTTTGGTACAGCGCGTGAGTACACTTTACAGCACACATACGCGTGCACACATACAACACAGACACAGTAGTGTCCATAGTCACGCCTTCACCGCCGTTGCTTGGTAGCGACTTCCAACGACGGACGTTCCCCTTCTTCTGGGTTCCCGAACTCTCTCCGACCTCAGCTACCAGCTTCTAACAGCAACAGCTCACAACAGCTGAGTCCCAGCAGTCCTCTGACTAAACTAACTCACCAACCAACCGACTGCAACAGTCAGCGCCAGAGTCAGAGTTTCTTTACGACTGGCGGTTGCTAACTGGCCCTGCTTATAACATCTTGGCATGGACCGCGTAGAAAATACCGTTCTTCTGTTGGGGTGACCGCACTGTCGTTACTGAGTCATTGCATATCAACGGCCGTTATTTGCAAAACCGTTACTTAGCAGCGACTGTTGTATAGTTGCTTATTTCACCATCGTTGCCTAGCAGTGGGTCTACATACCATAATAATAATAATAATAATAATAATAATCATAAGAAGAAGAAGAAGAAGAAGAAGGTACATTGAATGTGTTTAATCAAACACAAACCCACGAAGATGCAGGGATGAATGACGACATATCTCCTCAAATTCCTAACTTCGATAATAGATGGAGGTCTGGGTACTGTGGAGAAGAGAAAATCCTCTTACTCCTGATGGGAATCGAAATCCTATTTCTTGGACGCCCAGTTTGCAGCCTGCTCACTATACTGACTCAGCTAACTCGGTTTCTCTTAAATAGTAATTATAATAAGTAAAGTTACTCCCGTGCTTAACTAATTAAGCACTACGCCATGAAGACGTGTGGGGGAGCGGATGTATAGATCCTTGTATTCCTGACCTCGGCACTAGTTGGAGGTGAGTGGTCGGCTTCACACCCCGGCAGCTTTGCCCTGGGGAAAGTGTCCTAGATGACCACTGGATAGGAGGCTCGGAGGGTTCAGGTCCGATCTGGACGACACGGAGAAGAGAAAATTATTTAAATTACCGCTACTCGAACTCCGATCCCTCGGTTGTCCAGCCCGTAGCCAGTAGCTATACCGACTGCGTTATCCCGGTTCTCAATAAGGATAAAAGTAATAATACAAATAATAATAACACAGTAATCTCTTTGTATGCCTATGAAAGGCGCTTTTGTTTTCATTAAACATGTCAGTACAATTAGAAACTTTTACAGTTCGTTTCACTTATCCGCCGCTAGCCACTAAAATGAAACATGACAATTGCCTACTTCTTTGCTTGAGTGGTTTTGTGACAGCGATTTTGTAGATAACGGACACGCTTGCTGGATCATGAGCTTGCCCAGCCAGCGGTGAAAGTGATGCCAATCCAATCAGACAGTCAATATCATGGATTTGTTTCTCTGGTTCTTATAAGTGACAATTTTCTTCTTTCCATTCGCTTTCGGCCATGGGCAACGCGTGTGAAAGATGAGAGTATGTTGTAATACTCGGAAACTGGACTGTATAATTCATATCACATGAACTATATGAGGTTTCAGTCTGCATACGAGCTCCATTCCCGTGCGTGAGGGCCCGATTACACTTCTTTTTTTGGTTCCTTCCGGAAGTCGGATACTTCCATCTTTATCTATCTATGGCTCTACAGCCCTTGCGGACCTTGACCACCTTTTCAGTTCCTTAATTTATACACAGTCGGTAGGACTCCTTGGACAGGGGATCAGCCCGCCGCAAGGCCGCTACCTACACATAGGACAGCACACAAACACAGAATAAACGCACACAGACATCCACGCCTCGCGTTAGATTCGAGCCCACGATCCCAAGCGTTCGAGCGGGCGAAGACAGTTCATGCCTTAGGCCGCGAGGCCACTGTGATCTGCTACCTTCATCTTTAAGCAAACAAAAAGAGCACAAGGATTGCTGTCTCCTGGGATGTGATAAAATATGTTACTCCTCTACCCTTAAGATGAACGCAGCAAGTTCTTCCGCAACTTCAGTTACCATCACTCAGATACACGGAGAAGCACCCCAGTCATTACCGCGTCAACTTCCAAATATTAGTAAAATAATCACAAGCATTAAATTTGTCATCACGTCTTATCTGTTCAGGGACATTACTCCCGTTCTTAATATTGAGTCAATACATGAACATTATATGAGTTGCAGGTTTTGTGGTGTTTCAGGGACTGCAACTAGCGCGTAAGCCAGGGTGTACCTGAAATCAACCTTGACCTTAGTTCAAGTATAAGTATACTGTCACGTGTATGAATGACTATACACGGGGTTTGGATTGGTGACTGAATTAATTGAACGCTTACAGAACCTAATTATATGTAACTACAGCGCTATCACTAATTCACACTCTCTACAATTCACTACACCATGGACTAAGACTTCTCAGTCTGCTGTATCTTTGCCGGCTGTCGCCTGGTAACGGCTTCAAAAGCCGTAGCTTCCTCAGCTTCCGTCTTCACGTCCTTACTGGCTGGCGACTCTCTCGCAACTAAATAAATTCTAGACTTATTCTGCTTAAAACATCTCGGCACGGTCAACAGAGAAACACCTCTCGCAACAGTTCTACTATTGTTGCGTCACGTAGCTGTCGCACCGACCGCTCAGGGAACACCGATTCCCAGTTAGGCTATTGGTGCTTGTCAGGAATTTGTTGCGCCCGCTACCTGGCAATGACCGTTGTTTACAAAGTGATTACTTAGCTACGGGTCGACATGCTGCAGTACGTTAAAGCCTTTCAAGTCAAGCCAAGTTATTGATACTCAAAACCAGTCTTCTTTTTCTTCATGGTAATTCACGCTGATTCGAGTCTTTACTTCTTTCGCAGTACACGTTTTCTTGCTACCTACTTAATTAGCCAACCTATAACTTTATGGGACACAGTCCTTCTTGAGATTCTAATAGGCGCTCAGTTAAACAAGAAATTCCCCGTGTTTTAGGAACCCAAGATATCATCGTGTTCACAAGGGTCTACCATTCTATCCTATCCTGAGCCAGATGAATGAAACCGCACATTCATACACAATGTCTTCATGATTTGATATTAAGAAATCTGACATCGTTGATTTTTAATATAGCCAATCGTAGATTTGGACTGCATCTGTGGTCTAGTGTTTGTGGCTACAGACCCAGAGATCCCGGGTTCGATTGCCGGCGCTACCAGATTCTCTGAGAAGTAGTGGATCTGGAACGGGGTCCACTCAGCCTCGTGAGGATAACTGATGAGCTGTTTCAAGAAATAGCGGCTCTGGTCTATAAAACAGAGATTAACGGCCGTGGGGATTCGTTGCGCTTACCACTCGAACTCTATCCGCAAAACTTGGCACTAACTTCGCCGACAAGCGGCGGTCGCTGGGCCGGTATAGTTCGCTTGCGGACTACAGGCCACGGAATTTGTTCTTTTTTTGTTTGTTCAATTGTAGGTTTCTTTTAATCATACTCAAGGCTCGTGATATTCCTGAAGTATTTATTTTGAAATCTTGTATATGAAATTAAAGGTAAAGTTGTCCGTGTGCTTGATTCATTAAGCAAGATGCCTTGAAGACGAATGGAGAAGTGAAGGCAAAGTTCCAACATTCTTTCCCTGAGCATTATACGCAGGTGAGTGGTCAGCTTTACCAGCAGGGGGTACTCAGTGCCCACTAGACAGGAGGCCGGGTGAGCCCCAGAGCCGGTCTTGACGCTGTGGATTAAAGAAAAATCTCTTGTCCCTGCCGGAAATCGAACCCTGGCCGTCCACCCCGTAGTCCGTTGCTATACCAACTGAAATATCCCGGCTCCACTTTTGAAATCCTATGGTAACTTAATCTGTGCAAACATTCTACCATTGCTCTATACTCATCTGTCACCTCAGGTTGGCGAAAGCCCAGATCAGGCAGAACGCTATCACATTTTCGGTCTTTAAGTTGGAAGAACCATCTCTGACCTGCAACTTGACTGCTTATAGGGTCAGGAAGGAAGTTATTTTTAAGAAACGCGATCAAGTGGGTTAATGATGCTGCTTCTCTTCCAAATAGATATATTGCATCACATTACATAGTTCCAGTTGATATATATAGAATCTCTTGTGGTGCATTGCTTTCAGGAGCGAGTAAAGCGGAAGATTCCGCGCAACTGTTTCCATCCCTGCAGTCTCTCGGAAATCCAGGAACTACAAGCTACGCAAAACAACGTGAGTTTCCTTCAATCCAGAACACAGGAATTGCTAGTGCACTGGCAATGTGCTGTCACACGTATTAGTGATTATAGACGGAGTTTGGATTGGTGAATAGATTTATTGACCACTTACAGGTCGTAACTGCAAATAATTATTACACTGTTGCTGATTTCCACACTATAAATCACTCCACACGAAGTCTTCTCAGTCTGTTTCCACTAATCTTCGCTTGGTAACAGCTCTCCACAATGGCTATTCCTCTACCGTACCTTCGCTAGTCTTTTTCTGGTAATGAAACTTAGTTTCCGTTGTCCGCTGATTCGCATTCCACAGCTGAACCCTCAACTGAACTCAACTCCACTAGTGGGATCTCTGAACAATATTGGTGTCATTCTGATGTTTATTAATATTGACAAATTACAGAGCCTAGTTTACATAAGAACATAAATTGTTTTCTAGACGTATGGCATAATAAACCGGGGCACGCGGTAGCATAGTTGGTTGAGGCACTATGCTACAAGTCGGAAGGTCGCGGGTTCAAGTCCCGATGAGGTCATTGGGTTTTTTTTTTCAATTGACCTAATCCTTCCGGCCGCACTATGGCCCTGGGGTTGACTCAGCATCTAACAGAAATGAGTACCAGGAATTAATTAAATAATTTTCCTAGGGAGTAAAGCGCGGCCGGCGCGTAAGGCTGACAACCTTACCGACATCTTTGAGCCGATTGTCTAGATAATGTGGGACCCTCAACGTCTCAGAACCCTATGGGCCTTCACGGCCTGTACAGGGATAGCTTTACTTTTTTTACTTTACTTTATCGCATAATAAACGGGCGGCAAGTAAGTTTTTTTGTTGCTAGTGGGGTGGAACTAAGTCCCTTGTATTGCGGCCACTTCTGGCCTATTGTACCAGCCCCAGATGATAGGTGAGGGTGATTGTTGAGCAATTGGTGGAATGAAGATTGGCAGGGGAAAGCGAAGTACTCGGAGAAAACCTGCCCCAGCGCCACTTTGTTCACCACAAATCCCAAATAAGCAAGTAAGCTCAAAGAAACTGCTAAGAACGGCGTTCGGGATCTTGTATAGTACAATCGTTCGATTATTTTGGAACCTATGTCAGGATAGTCCATCCTTGGCCGCCTGAGGCGATTCCAACGCCTTACCTCGCTCGGTCTGGGTACATTACAGTTTCTCGTTCATTTCTTCGTGGGATTTAATACAATTACCTCCATGGCACAGGAGTATCTTGAGCAATACTTACCCATCTTAACAACTAATCATCTATAGGCCTATACAATACGGAACGGTTTGTGAGGAAGTATTTTTCATGCAGTTATAGAGGTGTGTTTGAAACTGTGCCATCTGAAGGATAAATATTGTGACATGACGCCTGAATGCCGAAAATGTGCAACCAGAAAAGCGCCGCAGAGACGTCCATTGCTAGACAAGGACCCGCTAAACAAGTTCCCGCAGCATCGAATAAGCACACAACAATAGAGGAATTGTTGGAGGCTGTGATCTGTATTTCGTTCTTCCCGAAGTTATAAAGGGAGGACACGTGAGAACGCGCAGTCCAGTTCAGTTCGGTAGTTGAGTTCAGAATTTGTAAGAGAACTGAGACGGGAGAACGGGAATGGAGCGAGTCCTCGGCAGTAGATTGAGTGTGAGTTATTGTAATTGATTGTAAAAGAAGACGTCAGTAAATATAACCATCCAATCCAGAACCAGTTATTATTAGTTACTGAACCCCGGACACATGACAATGTGTATGAAAAGGATAAAGAAAGGAAAGAAAGTGGATAAAGGACTGAAATACGAAAGAAGGGCTTTCCGTTTAATTTCATTGGAATTTTTCTCCAACATTGCTATGACACGTGAACGTTTAACATCACACAAACCTAAATCACTCCAATCTTCACAGTTCGTTTCTCTAACATCCGTTTTAGGTCTCCCAACTATCCTTTTTCCGTGAACTTTCCAAACAAAATGTTAAACATTTGTTTCCTTCATATCTGACACCGCATTTATCAGACTTCTTCTTTCAATCATCCTCATCTCATAATTACGTCATATGTTGATTTATCTCACTTAGGTCGAAAATCTTTCCTCGCCGCTTTTGTCGCAAATATGTTCTATCTCTGTTCTTCCCGTCTTTACAGAGATCAAGTTCCAAACTCAGAGAAAGCAACCTTACAGAAGCCTACCGACATAAATTCCAGTAAAGAAATTTAGTCATTACGTGTGGAAAACACATGCAGCTTCTTCGCCCCAAATGGTGGCTCTCGCGGTAACGATTCTGGCCTGTATTCCAGAGGTGATCGGTTCAAACCCAGGTTGGTGTACTGACTATCCAGACCGAGGCTTTTATGGCTTTGCGCAATGCCTACAGGAAATCGCCGGGATCCAATCATGCTAAGACGAGTTCCTTCCCTTCCTTTCAAATTCATTATTGAAAACTGTCCAACCATTCGGGGTTTAGCCTGAGTTAGTTACAGCGTCGTTAGGTACTTATTTACTTACTTACTCATGGAGCTGAGCCCTTCTGGAGGAGCCGCCACTTCTGCAGCTACTCAAGAATTTCGCAGCACTTTATGGGGCCCAAAGGTTTATTATCGTGTTCACAAGAGCCCCCCACTGCTCTCTATCCTGAGCCAGCTCAATCCAATCCATACTATCCCATCCTATCTCTCTAAGATACATTTTAATATTGTCCACCCACCTATGCCTTGATTTTCCCAGTGGTCTCTTTCCTTCTGGCTTCCCCACCAATATCCTATACGCACTCCTCGTCGTTAGATAACTATAAATAAATAAAACAAAGCCGTTTCAATTAGAATTGTACTATCAGGTACTCAGCACGACGCAAATAGGAGTGTAACCAAACTATGAGTTTGCCAAAGGGAGAATTCCTGCCCTATGCCCTCAAACATGTGGCACAACTTGACTTCCAACCTGAACACACCCACTTGGCACACCAGTTGCTACAGCTCTGCTATCTTGTTATGCAGACTATAACTGAGAGGTGCGGACAAACTATGGCACGAGTTCCACATACCAAAACCACAAAAAATGTCCGTGTCAACATGTTCATCATTGAGAGAACCCGCTGTGTCAAGGCAGGTTAGAATACCTCCACCATAGCCCTGCGTGCCATAGAAGGCGACGAAAAGGAAACCCGGTGCCTGAGATTATAACTGGACCACCCTGTCACTGGGGGACATAAATACAAGGACCTGGTCCTCCAGGTTGGGGGGTTGGACGTAAGCCTGACAAACTTGCTCTGTAAAGAAAATAATTGTTATGAAATCCAAAGAAGTGCCAACCGAATGCAATCTGACAGAATCTTCTAAAGAATTCTGTGGCTCAAAAAGTTATGTTTTTCCAATGATGATGATAACTGGAAGAATACTGCACATGTGTGATGGCGCTCCGCCATATTTTAGCTGTCCTGTGCGAGATGCTCTCAATAACGCGCATCATGACCGATGGATAGGCAGAGGAGGACCCACTGCACGGCCCCCACGCTCGCCGGATTTGAATCCTCTGGATTTTTGTCTGTGGTGACACAGAAAAACCATTATGTATGCAGCTCCTGTTGACAAAGAAGAGACACTTCAATATCGCAGTGAGGATGCCTGTCAAGACTAACCGCAATTTCCCCAGTGACAGTCCATGATGACACGTGTCGAGGCGTACATTGAATCTCGTGGACGACAATTTGAGCACTTATTATAAACGTACCCCTTCAGCTAAAATAAAAGGTAAAGATATCCCTGTAACAGGCCGTGGAGGCCCATAGATGTTTGAGACGTCGAGGTTCTCATATTTTCTAGACAGTCGGATCGATCACAAATTAAATGTTTCCGGACAGATATTCATTTTGGCATTCTTTCTTCTTGTTTTGCAATATGGAACTAGTGCCCAAAGTTTGCCCGCACCTTTCAGATACACCCTGCAAACTTCCAGCTGTAGTTCGCTGATATAACCCCGCCCCTAGTATCACTAAACCAGCGCATCAACACGCAGCAGCGTCCCTAATAGGGCAGGTTTCAATTCCATGTGATACAGAACGTGGTTAATCGGATAACGGACTTGCAATCCTATCAACATATTTTATGTGATAGTATTTATCCTGCCAGTCCTAGTGGCTACAAATTGTTAGGCGAGTAGGCTGGGGTCGCGGGTTCCAATTCCATTGGAAGCTGGAATTTTTCTGCAATGTTCTGTGAGTGTAGAGACATGGAAATCGGCTGGTCCTCAATCCAAGCAAACCCACTATGAATTCAAAATTGTAATTATCTTCAAATAAAATCTGAGGCTTAAAACTCCAGGCTTCCTACAAGTCGATCTTTATTGCATGTATCCTGTTGCGTGTCATAAAACAGATTTTGCCCCAAGTCAGGCATCCAGGCTCATTCTCTGTCCATATGCAAAGAGAGAGAAAAATGACTGCTCTGTAAGTTATTTAAGGAGCCCGGGGGGGGGGACAGAAAGACTGAATAGCAATAGCGTTTGTAGATCACCTGTTGTGAATTATTTGTCAAACCGCAATTCCACAAAATTTGAAAGTAACCCTACATGAAGTGGGTACAGTAAAAACAAAAAATACCCCAAAGAAACGGGCGACTTTCAACAGCTGCGTGAAACAGTAGGACTAAAGTGTAACAATGGACACATCCAGAGAGGCAAAAACAGGGCCAAGAAGCCATGAAAATAAGAGAGCTGGAGAGTGAGGAGTGGTATCACAGGGGCAACTAGAGAATAAGAAGTGAGGGAAGGCGCACAGACACATGCAGACACTCATATATGTAATGTATACAGTCCAGTCGCGATTTATTGACCACTGCTTCCGCCTACATGGGACGGGCGGAAGAATAAAGCACAATACTTCCCCCTTAACTGAAACATAAGCCTTCTTGAAGTCTACAAATAGCTGATGTACTGTCTCATTGTATTCCCATTTCTTCTCCAATATCTGACGAATACAAAACATCTGATCAGTAGTTGATCTGTTAC